GTCCTTGTTTGAGAAATATTCCCATGAAAGTTGTTAGGAAGCAGACATGACACTGTGTCTTCTGCGATCTCTCACAAAGTGCAGTAAGCTCTGAGAGATCAGTCCCTTCATTAGTTGCACATTGTACATCAGTGGGCCACGTTGGGCCCACAGCACTGGGTCAGGACACTCCAGCTCTAAGCTCTGCCATACCAGTCAGTGCATACGGCTTACTTTCATGGCCTCTGAAAAGTGGGGTGGTGGCGTGTGCTTGTCCTAGTGACGCGTGTTGTGATTGAAGGTGAGGGGCCCTGGCACAGGAGGATGTAGGGCCGCTTCTTCAGTGCCAGAGCCTGGAGGCTACGTCAGGGCTGACTCAGAAAGATGACTGCCCTCAGGGAGGGAGCCTTCACTTTTGTTGTCCCCTCCGGGGCCCTCCCACTGGAACAAGTAACTGGTGAGAACCCCATGAACTAGATGAGGCCACCGCCGAGCCGCTGCCTCAGGCTGAGGCCCAATCCAGCATTAAGTACTGGGAGCGCTCTGACATTCCAATGAGAGCCGTTACCCTCAGGCAGCCTGGTGTGACAGAGGGGTCTGAAGCCACAAACAGCTGGGGCGGGAACTGTTTAGCAAACGTTTTGCAAATAGTACACACTTTGTAAAGGAAGTGTGTCTTGTTGTCAGCGTAGCTCTTACTGTCCTCATCTGTAAGGGCTGGGTTTGGACAAGGGACACCCACATCCCGGTGTGGTCCTAGTTTATGGTAGATGACTTATCGTAATCGTTCTGAACACCTTTGCATCTGAGTAGCTGCTCGTGTTCTTGTTGCTTCAGGTAACGTCTGTCCCTGAACTGTTCCTGACCGCTGTGAAGCTCAGCCATGATGGCACGGGGGCGAGGCACTTACACCTGGCCCGAGAGGACACGAATAACCTGTTCAGGTGTGTAGCCACCCTGAGAACCGTTCCTCCTTAGAGCACCCGCCATAGCTTAAAGTGACAGTGCTGATAGCGCCCTGAAAATGAGGAAAAGATTAAGTGAATATATGTCCTTGGTTACGCACAGTAAATGGTGAAAATTGTATATGATTTTGCATATTACATTCAGCAGACATTTCTGTGAAAGAGTGTGAGGGTAAACGAAGAATTCCGGTGAACAGAGGGCATGGCTCATTGGGAGCTGTGGCGTTTGCCTAACCTAATGCGCCTGTCCTGTGTCTTTCTGGCCGCAGCGTGCAGTTCCGCACCACCCCCACAGATAGCACAGGGGTCCCGCACGTTCTCGAGCACACGGTCCTGTGTGGCTCAAAGAAGTACCCATGCAGGGATCCCTTCTTCAAGATGCTGAATCGGTCGCTGTCCACCTTTATGAATGCCTTCACAGGTAAGACCGGTTTCCGGGCCGGAACTGCCGTGGGGTCTGTACCTAAGGTAGGTAGGGCGTGCGGCTGGCACCCTGTGGGCGAGAATAAACATGCCCTTCTTATGTCTGCTAGGCAGACCTTAGCACAGTGAGCCTTTAGGCAAGCCGCTTCGTGATTGGGTTGTAAAAACTGGGCTTTCAGGAAGAGGGCACTTGAGGGTTTTCTGGAAAAGGTCTTTGGGGAATAGTGCTGTTCTCCAATAAGATTGGGCCTCTGCAGCATTGTGTTAGTGTTGACAGAGGTGGTGTTTGGATTTTCATTCTGGGAAATAGGAGAGTGAATAGGCTGACGGTGTGTGCACTGTGCTGTTGGGAGCAGCTCGGGAGCAGTTATGCGGGCATGTTGGCACACAATGTCCTTCTTGGCCTGAGAGATCACTGGTGCCCTGGTTCCAGGCCCATTCCCCTGGACCCTGGGCCAGGAGGAGTGCAGCCTCTGTGCCACTGACATTAGGGCTTATTGTGACACTAGGACTCATGGTGACACTAGGACTCACGGTGAGGGTGAGACGAGACTTGACAGGAGTATTCATGCGCGAATCTGATGTTTTAAAATCTTCCTTTCCTTTGCACCCAGCTAGTGATTATACTCTGTACCCGTTTTCCACACAAAACCCCAAGGACTTCCAGAACCTCCTGTCCGTGTATTTGGATGCGACCTTTTTTCCGTGCTTGCGTGAACTTGATTTCTGGTATGTACTGGGTGGTTAATTGATGTAGACTGCGGTATTAGAGGCACTATCACCATGTAATTCTCCGTTCTTTTTTAGGCAGGAAGGATGGCGACTGGAACATGAGAATCCAAGTGACCCCCAGACAGCCTTAACCTTCAAAGGGGTCGTCTTCAATGAGATGAAGGGAGCGTTTGTAAGTGTTTTCCTTTTTATGTGGTGTTAAAATTATCTTACTCTGTAAACTATTGAAATTTAAGTAGGTTTGGAAGATAGTTGACATTCGGTTATGTCATTTAATATTCCCATCACATGGGATTTGCTAAACGAGCTGAGCTGGGTGACAGTGCTATGAGCAGAAACCACAGGACCACAGCAGGCCCAGGCTCCCCCTCATCCTAGACCCATTCTTGTAGACCAACAGTTGTAACTGGCGTGGGGACCCCATAGATGACCTGCAGGTCTGCGAGAGAGGAACTGTTTTCATGACACTACTAAGACGTCTTCCACCCTCGTTCCTGCCGAGCACACCATGAAGTCCCCCAGTCTGTCACGTGGTGTGTGAGGTCTCATTTTGTCAGCACAGACGCTGGTAGAGAAGCCAGCTGCCTTCTATGAAGCTAGACACTAGTGAGATTTGCAAAATATGTGAAACAGCGCCACTCTTCTCAATAACTTTGTTTCATTACGAAAAGTATCTTTCAAAATATATTTAATAACATGTCATAGTGGGTTAGGTTAATGAATATGAGTAAGTACTTTGACAATGTTTCAGTTTTAATTCCTAAGACGTAAAAATTATGCACACACACACACCCATATGATCCAGAAACCCACATCATCCGAAGCTCCTTGGGGACCTTATAAGTGTTCCGGAGAATGAAGGGCCTGAGAACCGCTGTCCTGGGCGTGTCCCCCCAGCTCCTGCCGTGTGGGACTGCTCCCTCGCCACCCACCGCCTGCACTGGACCCTTCTCTCCTTTAGGCTGTAGCGCTCAGTTTGGGCAGCATCCATCTCAAGCACCTTCCTGAAACTTGAGTTAGGGTGACAGCCTTCCCTCTGGACGCGTTTGGGGCCCATCTGCAGCAGCCTTCCCACAGCGCTCACCTGTGGGTGTTGTCACCCAGTGCGTTCTGAGGGGGGTGGCCTTCTCCTGCGGCAGCCAGGCCCTGCGTCCCACACGCAGGTCATGAGTGAATCGAATGCTTCTCACACAGTGTCTGTGGATGTCCTGGTTTACCTTGGGGACAGTTTTACTTGCAGGGTGTCCCAGGGTGCGCTCCTGGTGGGTTAACCGGCTGTACTGCAGCAGTGCGTGTGTTATGTTATATATGACGTGTCTCTTCTCATTTGAAGACAGACAACGAGAGGGTGTTCTCACAGCACCTTCAGAACCTCCTGCTTCCTGACCACACGTACGCCGTTGTCTCCGGTGGTGACCCCTTGTGCATCCCAGACCTCACGTGGGAGCAGCTCAAACAGTTCCACGCTACGCATTATCACCCCAGCAATGCCAGGTGGCGTTTCATTTTTAAAGTCTGATGGTAGTTTAATTAGCAGGTGACTTAATTGGCACCGTTTACACTAGACGCTTCTGACATTTGACAAAGAAATGTTTGCTTGCAACCATATAAATTTAAACAGGATTCTTCATAGATTGCCTGTCTCATTGACTCGATGCTCAGTCTCAGTCCACAGCCACCACTTCTACACCCAGCACGGTGGTGCCAGCACCTCCCAAAGGAGGGCCCCGCCCCTGTGGGCGGGTGGACTGGGTGCCCCTAAAGCTCTGTGCCCTAGGTCCTCCAAAGTGGGGCTGCAGGTAGAGAAGCTGGATACTTTTTGATAAATTGTCTGTTTCAGAGATCACTAATGATAAAACACTAATACTTGTATTTATAAGTAAATTCACTACTAATGTAAAGTCAAATTTGCAAGATTGATTTAAGTGTAAAACTGTAAATTTCAGTTATGAAACTTGAAGTATACAGAAAAGTGTAGACCCCAGAAGAGTGCTGCCCATACACTAACCACGCAGATCTCTCCTTTGCCGACAGGCATGATGGGGTACCCCTAACACTTGTGACTATAATGTAAGGGTATTTTCTTACATAAGGTAATACCATTTTCACACTTACGGAAATAAAAAATACTTGATTAAAACCACCTACCGCTTATCCTAAATTAGGACTTTCCAGTTGTCCCCAAAATGTTTGACCCAAATGAGGCCCACAAATTGCATTTTGTCAGTGTGTCTCTTAAGTCCCTTTCCTGTAAGACAGTTCCCAGCACATCCCCCCCCCCCCCCCGCATTGTTTTCATTGAAACTGAAAAAAATAGGCTGGCTGCCCCTGGACTCTCTCACCCTCGGGCATCGGATTGCCCCTCTGGCCTTGGCGGGCATGTCCTGTGTTTCCTGAGAGCTGGACCTGGCTGCGAAGACCCAGTTCACCTGCAAAGGTGCTGCCTGCATGCCTGCAGCACCCCATCAGACGTCTTGGAGCTGCTCTCGCAGCGGGGCTGCTGCAGCCCGTCTGCGGGTTCCCATGGTGATGGTGGCCTTCCCGGCAGACCCAGGCTCTGAGCCGGGTTGGTGACCTGCCCCTGTGAGCCCTTGTGGAGCCCCTCGTCGGCCTGTCCCGTTCTCGTAATCACTGATGCTGTTGTCCGAGCAGCCCTTCAGTAGACTTAGCACAGTTTTCGAAGACTTCTGTAACGTCTGTGAGGAGCGTTCGCCCATCCGCAGACTGGGGGTTCCCCTGAGATGGTGTTCTGGTGGGAAAGGCGGGCTGCTGCTTTCCCTTCACTGTCCTGTTTCCAGGGGACATGGTGGCAGTTGCTCCTGCAATGATGACAGGCTTTTTTTTCAGCCTTATTTAGTTTTATGTTTACCATTATGACCCCATACACCTATTTTTATATGTGTCTATATCTGAAGTTGTGATCAAGTGGAATTTTTAATTTTTATGCTCACATTGTCCCAACTGTGGCCGGAGGGAGCTCCTTTAGGCTCATCGTGTCCTTCGGACAATTTTTAGTCTTACGTAACTTCTTTGGTTTCAGCCCCCCTCCCCTCCCGGCCCCCCCAAATCCTGGCTTATCCTGCCTCAGACGTATAGCTGGTCATGGTCTAAGGCACCTGACCACACAGGGCAGATGTTAACAGACCAGTGTCTGCACGGGCACCAGGAGCTCACACTCTTAGTTTTCCCTTTCTAAACCTTTGAGTAGAAGTTTTTAGAGGACCTTTAAGACACTAGTTCCCAAAATCTTAATGTCGTATTAAAGAAACGGATCAACACTGTCATTTTAACCTTTTTCCCCGGCTGAATAATTGTGTTGTTTTAAAAGTGTGTAACCTAAAATTTGTAGCCTAAAATGGAGCTTCGTAAAATTCATTTTTATTTGGCATTCTTAGTTGGAGATTAAATTACTATAGCTAAGGTCACAAAGTATTTTAACATACAGCTTATCTGGTTTTTGTAACACCTTTATAATATATTTAAAATAAAGAGCAACTATTGCTAAATGTACATCCATTCAGTCGTTCTGTACAATTTCTGTTTTGTTTGAACCACCTGTCTTCTAAAGAGAAAGAGGAAGGCCTCCGTTTGGTGTTTGTAGTTAAACTACTTATAAATGGAAAAAAGATATACTCCTGTATAAAGTTCATTTAATTATGGAGCTGGCTTGTTCCAGCTGCTGTATGCATACCTTCCTACAAAAAGCCATCTGGGTTGATTTCTAATCTCTTAAACTGAAAGAGACTAATACATTCTCAAAATTTCAGGTTCTTCACTTACGGCAGTTTTCCACTAGAACAGCATCTGAAACAAATTCATGAAGAGGCACTGAGTAAATTCCAGAAAACCGAGCCAAGCACCGCAGTGCCTCCTCAGGAGCCCTGGGCTAAGCCGGTGAGTGGCCGTCTGAGGGTACTCAGTTTGTTACCCTCCATCCAGAGGGTACTCAGTGTTACCGCCCCTCCCGGGTACACAGGGTGCAGACGCAGAAGCCCTGGGCTAAGCCAGTAAGTGGCTGTCCAGAGGGTACTCAGTGTGTTACCCTCCGTGCCAGGTGTGCGGGGTGCAGACTCTGGCTATTAATAATAGGATTGATTTTAAAACGAGGCTGTGGGCTCTGCATGTATGGACGATCTTCTCAAGCCTACAGAAGGTTATTTGTTTGAGAAGAAAGTTAATTTAGTGAAAAGCATCTCTTGTATCATTTTATTTGTTTGTTTTATTTTCCCATTCCCCACCCTCTCCCCTTGGGCAACCTTCAGCTTGTTCTCTGTACCTAATAGTCTGTTTCTGTTCGGTTTTGTTTATTCATTTTTTAAATTTTATTTATTTTTTTATATTCCACATGAATGATATATCATATTTGTCTTTGATTTATTTCACTTACCATAATACCCCCCCTCAGGGTCCATCCATGTTGTTGCAAATGCCAGCATTTCCTTCTTTTTATGGCTGAGTGAAATCCACTGTATGTGTGTACCACCTCTTCTTTATCCAGTTGTCTATCGATGGACACTTGGGTTGCTTCCATTATCTTGGCTGTTGTGAATGGCACTGCAGTAAACATAGGGGTGCATATATTTTTTTGAATTAGTATTTTGGATTTCTTTGGGTAAAAATCCATGAGTGGAATTGCTGGTTCATAAGGTAGTTTTTTGTTGTTGTTGTTTTTTTTATTAGCTGAGTCATCCTGCCACCTGTTGGCAGCTCAGAGGCAGCTCAGCTCGGGCCGGGCATTGAACCGCTGTTGCTCAGAGCTTGCACTCTTGAGCGAGCTTTTAATCAAATAAGGTAGTTTTATTTTTAATTTTTTTTTTTTTTTAAAGATTTTTATTGGGGAATTGGGGGAAGGGGAACAGACAAGTTGCTGTCCTTTTGTTCTTCAGTCTAGTTGTGGAGGAAGTTGCTTCACTGGCCCAAGTTGGCACCATCATTGCACTCTTCCCGGGCGAGGCAGATCAGTCGCCGGCTTCTGGACGGCCGCTCACGGCGGCTGCTGGCCACTCACGCTGGCCCATGGCAACCCACTGCAGCAGGGGCTGCAACCTACACCGTCGCCGGCGACTCACAGCAGCCCAGCTCCAGGTTGAGCTGTTGTTCAGCATCTTAGCTGTAGAGGGCAATGTCACTGGCCTTCATATGTGGGATCCGAACCAGGGCCCTCTGGTGTCCCAAGCCATCTCTTAACCATCGCGCCACTTGGCCGGCCCTATTTTTAATTTTTTGAGGAACCTACATACTGTCTTCCATAGTGGCTGCACCAATCGACATTACCACCAACAGTGCATGAGGGTTACCTTTTCTCCACATCCTCGCCAACACTTGTTATTTGTTGATTTACTGATGATGGCCATTCTGACAGGTGTGAGGTGGTACCTCATTGTGGTTTTGATTTATTGTACATTTCTCTCATCAGTGACATTGAGTGCTTTCTCTTGTGCCTGTTGGCCATGTGTGGGTCTTCTTTGAAAAAAATGTCTGTTCGGGTCATCTGCCAATTTTTAATTGGATTGTTTGTTTTTTAGTGTTAAGTTATATGAGTTCCTTATATATCTTGAATATTAACCCCTTATTGGCATTATCATTGGCGAATATCTTCTCCCATTCAGTAGGTTGTCTTTTCATTTTGTTGATAGTTTTCTTTGCTGTGTAAAAACTTTTTAGTTTGATATAGTTCCACTTGTTTATTCTTTTGTTTCGCTTGCCCGAGTGAACATATCTAGGAAGATATAACTAAGAGCAACGTCAGAGAGTTTATTGCCTGTTTTCTGGGAGTTTTATAGTTTCAGGTGTTACAGTTAAGTTTTTATGCCATCTTGAGTTTATTTTTATGTCATCTTGAGTTTATTTTTATGTATTTTGTAAGAAAGTGGCCCACTTTCATTTTTTTGCATGTATCTGTTCAGTGTCCCCAGCACCATTTATTAAATAGACTGTCTTGCCCTCACTATGTCCTTGCCTCCTTTGTCATAGAGTAAATGACCATATAAGAGGAGATTTATTTCTGGGCTCTCTATTTCATGGATCTGTGTGTCTGTTTTTATGCTAATACCGTGCTGTTTTGATGATTATAGCCTTGCAGTATAGTTTGATATCAGGTAGCATGATAACCTCCAACTTTGTTCTTCTTTCTCAAGATTGCTGTGGCTATTTGGGGTCTTTTGTGGTTCCATATAAATTTTAGGGTTATTAGTTCCAGTTCTGTTAAAAATGCCATTGGCATTTTAATAGGGATTGCTTTGAATCTATAGATTGCTTTGGGTAGTATGGACATTTTAGCAATATTAATCCTTCCAATTCCTGGGCAAGGAGTATCTTTCCACTTATTTGTAACTTCAGTTTCTTTCTTCAGTGTCTTGTAGTTTTCAGAGCACAGGTATTTCACCCCCTTGGGTAAATTTATTCCTAGGTGTTTTATACTTAGGATGCAGTTGTAAATGGGATTATTTTCTTAATTTCACCTGATCATTCGTTGTTGGTATATATAAGCACAGCTAATATATGTTGATTCTGTATCCTGCAAATTTACTGATGTCATATATTCTAGTAGTTTTGGAAGAGTCTTTCTTGGACCATTTACACATCTAGATAACCTAACATGAACCCGTTCATTCATGCTCTGCCTACTTCACTTATCGTGTGTCTTACAGAGGGAAGTCCAGATCACCTGTGCCCCGGACTCGCTGGCTGCAGATCCCTCTAAACAGACAACCGTCAGTGTCAGCTTCCTCTTGCCAGAGTAAGTGTTGGTGTGAAAGTAGAAGACATGCAGGTGAGCATGGTCAGAGCAGGTTCTCCAGTCAGATGTGGATGGTGAGTGGTTGGGATTCAGGGCTCCAGCAGGTGGTGGACTCAAGAGAGTTTTGTTTTGTTTTTTAAAGATTTTATTGGGGAATTGGGGGATGGAACAGCATTGGGGAATCAGGGAAGGGGAACAGACAAGTTGCTGTCCTGTTGTTCTTCAGTCTAGTTGTGGAGGACGTCGCTTCACTGGCCCAAGTTGGTATTATCATTGCGCTCTTCCTGGGTAAGGTAGATCGGTTCCCGGCCACTGGACAGCCGCTCACAGCGGCTCATGGCAGCTCACGCTGACTGCCGGCTGCTCAACGCTGGCTGCCAGCCACTCATGGTAGCTTATGGTAGCCCACTGCAGCCTACGCCGTCGCCAGCGACTCACGGCGGCCCAACTCCAGGTCGAGCTGTTGTTCACCATCTTAGCTGTAGAGGGCGCAGGGTCACTAGCCCTCAAATGGGATCCGAATCGGGGCCCTGCTGCTCAGAGCTCGCTCTCCCAAGCCAACTCTTAACCAACACGCCACTAACCAGGCCCTCAGGAGAGTTTTTTAACAATGTCTGGGCTGGCTTTGGGGGAAATGGCTTTGGGTAGCCATCCAGAAGAAAAGTCACTTCTTCCCCACTGCGTTGTAAGTCTCACTCCTAGAGAAAGACTGACTCAGAACAGCGGTGGTTAACATTTGGGGTCACAGGAGCCTCTGAGCATGATAAGAGGGCCATGCACGCTTCCTCAGCAGTTTGGAGGCATACACAACTCTTAACTGTCAAGACTGGACACCGGAAGGGTGGATGGGCTGGGGACGCCCATCGGCTTGTGTGCTCCCGGCTGCCCATCTACGCACGGTCTCCTGTCCACCGTGTAATGCTGACAGTGTGGTTAGAATTGAAGTCACACAGAGCGCTTGGCACCCTCCTGCAGCATCATTCGATATGCAGCCAAACTGTCTCATGGTTTGGGACCAAAAAAAACCCCAGTATGAGAGATACACAGTTTCTGTATTAAATATTATTGGGTTGTCAGAAAAGTCATGACGCATTTTTGCAACGGAAAAAGAAAAAATACGTCATGACTTTTTCGACAACCCAGTAAAATAGAGGTTGAAATGCAAAACTGTTTAGTAGAATGTCAGCTTCTTTGGATATGAGTGGCATTGTGGTAGTCATTTTAATGATTTGGAAAACATAAGGGACAACACTTTCCACTTTTTTCTACTCTTTTAAATGAAGCATCACTGATACATTCGAAGCCTTCACGTTGAGCCTTCTGTCTTCACTCTTGATCGGTGGACCCAATTCCCCCTTCTACAAAGCTTTAATCGAATCTGGGCTCGGCACAGACTTTTCTCCTGACGTTGGGTAAGCATCATCACCGGATCACATCAGTGCCTCACCTTTGGGAGCAGTTTTGGCATTTGACAGTGTGGCCACATTTTTTGTTGTCATACCTGGGAGGGGCTTTCTGGCACCCCAGGGATGCAGGCTGCTTCACATCCCACAGTCACAGGACAGCCCCTTCCCGTGCCAGCACAGAGCCGTGCCTTAGGTTATGGTTTCAGTACAGGCTACTTATGTCCACTGCAGGGGGGATTGGGGGAAAAGGAAAGGAGCAGAAAGCAAGGCCACTTTTCCATCATCTCAGAATGGCATAATGAGGCCTGTTTAAAAAGTCAGCTCATTAAGTAGTCTTTGAAATCTTAAGATTTTGTAACTCAGCAGTTCTCTATTTCTAGGTTTATTTTGCCGTAACTCTAGAGTTTAAGTTGTAGTGATGTTTGGGAACGTTGAAAGGACATGAATGTAACGTGCCCAGTTCTGTCTGAGAGCAGATGTCTGAGGCCGCTGTTTTCTTTGGCTTGGTCGTGTGGGACTTGAGTTAACTTCTTAGCTCCATTTTGTGCCTTCTAGCTTTAAACAGAGTGTGTGGTGAGTGAGTGGTGGGAGCCATACGGGTTCTGTGCACGCTCTCCTCTATTCCAGGTACAATGGAAACACCAAGGAGGCCTACTTCAGCGTGGGCCTGCAGGGCATGGCCGACAAGGACGTTCAGACGGTCCGGGGCATAATCGACAGGACGTTTGAGGACGTCATCGTGTACGTACAGCCCTCTGCTCTCATTCCTTGCCTTCTCCATGGTTCGGCCGTCCACAGAATGAAACATGTATCCTGTCAAAGTTAGCGGTAGACACATTCTCCTTTCTGTTGCATCCATCACCCAGACTGGAATTCTGGCTCAGATGGTGACTGTATTTAACTTGTTGAGGAACTTCCAAATCACATTGTTTTGCAAAGTGACTGCATGATGCTAACACCACAGCCAACATGTATGAGGGTCCAGTTGTCTCATCTTCAGGGCATTCGGGTCCTCATAGACCTCTTAATTCTCTGGGTTTTATTATTAGAAACACCCACGTGGGCTTGAAGTGGTTTTGATTTGCATTTTCTTGGGGACTAATGATGTAGAGCATGTTTTCATGTGTTTATTGGCCACTGTCTTTGGAGAAATACACATTTCTTAATCCATTTTATTTGGGTTATGTGTCTTTTTATTTATAGAGTTGTAAATGTTATTAAATATTCTGGATTCAAGGCACTTATCAGATACATGATTGGTGAATATTTTCTCTCATTATACACCTTATTTTTTTGCTTTCTTGATTGTGTCCTTGGAAGTACAAAAGGTTTTACTTTATTTTTTTAAAGACTTTTTTTTAATTGGGGAATTGGGGGGATGGGAACAGTGCTGGGGAATTGGGGGAAGGGGAATAGACAAGTTGCTGTCGTTTTGTTCTTCAGTCTAGTTGTGGAGGAAGTTGCTTCACTGGCCCAAGTTGGCACCATCATTGCGCTCTTCCCGGGCGAGGCAGATCAGTCACCGGCTTCTGGACGGCCACTCACGGCGGCTGCTGGCCGCTCACGCTGGCTGCTGGCTACACACGGTAGCCCATGGCAACCCACTGCCACAGGGGCTGCAGCCTACGCCGTTGCCTGCGACTCACGGCGGCCCAGCTTCAGGTTGAGCTGTTGTTCAGCATCTTAGCTGTAGAGGGCAGTGTCACTGGCCCTCATATGTGGGATCCGAACCGGGGCCCTCTGGCGTCCCAAGCCAGTTCTTAACCAACGCGCCACTTGGCCAGCTCCAAAAGGTTTTACTTTTGATGTTGTCCAGTTTACCTATTTTTTTTTTGATACTTGTGCTTTTGGTGTCACTTGAAACCATTGCCTAACACAAGGTTAAAAAGATTTACCCTTTTTTTTATTCTGAGAATTTTGTAGTTCCTTTTTTTAAAATTAAATTTATTGGGGTAACATTGGTTAATAACATTGTGTAAGTTTCAAGTGTACAATTCTATAATACATCATCTGTATATTGCATTGTGTGCTCACCATCCGAAGTCTAGTCTTCTTCTGTCGTCATATATTTGACCCTCTTTACCCTCTACATCCTTCCACCACCCCCCACTTCCCCTCTGATAACCTCCACACGGTTTGTCTGTGTGTTTGTTGCTTTTTGTTTTATATCCCACATATCAGTGAAATCATACAGTTCTTGTCTTTTTCTGCCTGTCTTGCATGATGCTTCAAGATGCATCCATGTTGTTGCAAATGCCAGTATTTTATCTTTTTTATGGCTGAGTAATATTCCACTGTATGTATGTACCCCATCTCTTTTATCTAGTCATCTATTGATGGACACTTAGATTGCTTCCATATCTTGGCTATTTTAAATAATGCTGCAGTGAACATAGGGGTGCATATATCTTTTTTGGATTAGTGTTTTCATTTTCTTCAGATAAATACCTAGAAGTGGAATTGCTGGGTCATAAGGCAGTTCTATTTTTAATTTTTTTTTTTTTTAGCTGAGCCATCCTGCCACCTGTTGGCAGCTCAGCGGCAGCTCATCTCGGGCCAGACTCGAACTGCTGTTGCTCAGAGCTCAAACCTTTGAGCGAGCTCTTAACCAACTGAGCCACTCAGCTGGCCCCTATTTTTAATTTTTTGAGGAACCTCCATACTGTTTTCCATAGTGGCTGCATCAATCTGCAATCCCACCAACAGTGCACAAGGATTCCCTTTTCTCCTCCCAGCATTTGTTGTTTGTTGATTTATTGATGATGCCATTCTGACAGGAGTGAGGTGGTATCTCATTGTGGTTTTTATTTGTATTTCTCTGATGATTTAGTGATGTTGAGCATTTTTTCATAATGTCTATTGGCCATTTGAATGTCCTATTTAGAAAAATGCCTCTTCATGTCCTCTGCCCATTTTGTAATTGGGTTGTTTGGGTTTTTTTTTGTTGTTGAATTGTAAGAGTTCTTTATATATTTTGGATATTAGCCCCTTTACGGAGGTGTTGTTTGCAAATATCTTCTCCCATTTGGTTGGTTGCCACTTTGTTTTATGGATGGTTTCTTTTGCTGTGTAGAAGCTTTTTAGTTTGATACAGCTCCATTAATTTATTTTAGCTTTTACTTCCCATGCCTTTGAGATTAAACTCATAAAATCCTCTTTGAACCCAAGGTCCATAAGTTCATAAGTCCTATGCATCTATGCAGTTTATTGTTTCAGTTCTTATGTTTAGGTCTTTGATCCATTTTGAGTTAATTTTGGTATATGGTGACAGACAGCAGTCTATTTCCATTCTTTTGTACGTGTCTTTCCAATTCTCCCAGCACCATTTAGTGAAGAGGCTTTCTTTTTGCCATTGTATTTTTTGCCTCCTTTTTCAAAAATTAGTTGCCTATATTTGTGTGGGTTTAATTCTGGGCTCTCAGTTCTGTTCCATTGGTCTGTTTGTTTGTTTTTGTCAGTACCTCGCTGTTTTGGTTATTGTAGCTTTGTAGTAAAAACACATTTATTTCTTTTCAACATCTCCATTCTTAATATTTCTTTAGGAAAGGATTCGAAGATGATCAAATTGAAGCTTTACTTCATAAAATTGAAATACAAATGAAGCATCAGTCTGTCAGCTTTGGACTCGCCCTGACATCTGTGTGTAATTTCTTACCCACCTCGTTATTTTTTGTTACTTTTATAATTAGTGTAACTGTTCATAGCATCTTTCATTTGAACCTTGAAAGTTAATGTTGTTTTGGATCTGATATAAATTTATTTTTAATTTAGTTTTATATTTTGCTTATCTTTTCACTAGCTTACTTAAGTGTCTTTGATAGCTATTTTTTATGTAAAATAGATTCACATAGAACACTTTAAATGGTGGGGATTTATGATAAGTCTTGATCTGTTGGTAATGGTATTTTCTAAAAGTAATTTTTAAACAAACTTTTTTATTTTAATAGAAAAAAAGGTTTAAAATGACTAGTTTTTCTTCTTCTAATCAAAGAATGACTTATTTTTTAAATATAGAAAAGGAGATCTTAATCAAATGTCATGTCTTTGGGGTTTACTGAGCTAAGGAAGAGTTTGTGGTGTAATGCACCTTGCGTATTTCACACCCTTTGTTCCAGTACATAGCTTCTTGCTGGAACCACGATGGGGACCCTGTGGAGCTCCTGCAGCTGGGACGTCACGTGGCTCAGTTCAGGCAGTGCCTCAAGGAAAATCCAAAGTTTTTGCAAGAAAAAGTGAAACAGTATTTTAAGGTAAGAAAACTGGAGAATTTAAGTCTGTAATTTTGAAGTTGATTTTATAATAATGAGAAGAGTATTAGGAATATAATCTACATTATATAAGTCAATTTCTGTTAATAGGTGATGTAATTTCTTATTAAAAATTTAAATGCTCATATTAACTTAAAAATGCATTTTCTGGATTCAGATGTGAGTTGGTGTTTTTAGATGAAAATATGTGTGTATATATTAACACACACCTGCATATGTTTTTGGTCTAGTTTGTTAACAGAATGTACAGAACACGAGGCGAGTCGCCTACGCGTGTGACCATTCTGGTACTTGGTGAAGGGCCCTTGGAGCCTGGCTCCTTTGCTTCCAGAGAATTCCGGGCCTTTTTTCTTGGTCACGTTCCCCGGTAGATAGTTGTCAGAGTGGCAGAACTTACAAGACCTGGCCATGGGAGCAAGACTGCTGTCTGGTGAAAGGGGAACTGTTGTGCTCTGCCATTGTGGGGACAGGGGGCCTGACGTGAGCATTTCACCCCTGATCTCGCTGAGTTACTGAGAGTTACTTTGCATAAAGTGTCTGTTGTACTAATGTTCCACCTCTCTGCAGCATTTTGTGTGTGTGTGTTTTAGTTGTTGAAATGAATCAGGGAAGCACATTATGTCACCTAACATTGTTAGGTTAGGTCAGCATCTGTTTTGTCCTCATAATTTATAACGTAATTAAGAACTCACCTTTTGAGAGATTAATAATATAATGAAGACCAGATAAAAATTATTTTCTTCTATGTTGTCTTCAATTCAGACTAAAGTCAGAAAATTATAATATTAAAAAGTGCAAAGTTTCCTTGTACAACCAAGGTATAAAGACAATGCTGACTGTTTACATGTATGGTCCCGACATAGTAACCATAATCACCATCCTAATAGTCCCAATAACAGCACACATGGATTACGTAATTACTGCATAACAGGTATGGTTGGCAGAATTTTATCTGGCTCTGACTTTCCGAAAGCAAGACCACTGTGAGGTGAATTCTGTCATGGTCACTAATGAAAATGGGACAGTGGCACGCGGGACCAAGGGCACACTGGTAGAGGTGGCTTCAGCCTGTCGAGCTTTAGTAAGTCTCCTATAATGTGACTTTTTGGTTGCTGTGTTTGTTGCAGAATAATCAGCATAAGCTGACTTTATCAATGACACCAGATGACAAATATTCTGAGAAACAAACACAAATGGAAAAAGAAAAACTGAAGCAAAAGGTCAGCTCTCTTTCCCTGGAAGACAAGCAGTGGATCTATGAAAAAGGTCAGACACTTCACTGGGCACCAGCGTGTGAGCTGGGAGGTCCCAGGACAGGAGGCAGGTCTCATCTCGGTGAGGGGTACGGGCCTAGCTGTGGTGAAGTCCCCACTCAGATCTGCGTGGTACTGGCGCGGTGAAGACAGGAAGTTGTATAATTTCTTCTTACAGCGTTGAACGCGCACTTACTGTAAAGCGCCAGGGGTCCTACTCCTGAGTATTTACCCAAGAGAAGTGAAAGCTTATGTCCACACAAAACTTGAAATAACACACTTCCACCAAGCTGGTATATCCACACAGTGGAATACTGCTCAGCCACAAAGAGGAACAAAATACTGATACACTCAGATCAATGACTCTCAAAGGCATCCTGCTGAGGGAAAGTAGCCAGACACAGAACACCCACTGAGGCAGTCTACTGATGTGAACCCTGGAAGCAGCCAAAGCACTGATAGGCAGGGAGCCCGGAGTAGGGCGGGGGTTGCCTGCTGCAAGCCTGAGGGGACTTCCTGGGTGCTGGAGATGTGACCTGGATAATGACCTTATGGTTACATTATTCATTGGTCAAAACTCATTGAATTCTAGCTCTAAAACTGAATTTCATTATATGTACGTTATATGTTAATAAGGCCTATTAAAACATTCATATGGTGCACACACAAATACACCCCCCATTTTGGTCACGCGAACTTTGAGGTGATTCAGTGTGGTAAAGGCAAAGTCAAGGTCAGCATGTAACCTCTTTATCTCTGAATTCTTCGGACACACAGCTGTTTTAAGCTCTTCCATAAATGTCACGTGCTAATTGTGAATGAAAATAAACAGAAACTTCTGTTTTGTGAGTGCCAGTTGACAGGGTCCATCTCCAGTTTTTTTGGATTTTGTTTGTTTGAGGTATATTTGACACACCAGTTTCAGTGTACAATGTGAATTGCTGTACATATGTGTTGTGAGCTGATCCCCACAGGACTTCTCGTTGACACGTGTCACCACAGAGCTGTATTTGTTTTTCTTACGAGAACTCTTAAGGTTTACTCTCTTAGTAATTTGAAAATGTGCAGTACAGTGTTATTAACTCTAGTCACCGTGCATTACATCCCCAGGACTTATTTATTTATAACTGGTAAGTTTGTACCTTTGACCCCTTTAGCCATTTTCCCACCCCAGTCTGTTCTCTGTACCTATGAGCTAGCTTTGCTTTTCTTTGTTTGGTTTTAGATTTTACATATAAATGAGGTCTTACGGTATTTGTTGGTATTTGTTTTTCTCTGACTTAATTCACTTAGCATAGTACCCTCAAGATCCATCCATGTCACAAATGGCAGGGTTTTGGTGTTTTTTGTTTGTTTGTTTGTTTGTTTTTTTAATGGATTAATGATATTCGATTGTGTATGGAATATCATTGAGTATATGTACTGTATTTTCTTTAACAGTTTTTTAAATTTTAAAATTTATTTTTCAATTACAGTTGACATATTAGTTTCAGATGTACTACACAATGATTAAACATTTATGTAATTTACGAAGTGATCCCCCCAATAAGTCTAGTACCCACCTGGCACCACACATAGTTATTACAATGTTATTGACTGCATTCCCTATGCTGTTCTTTACATCCCCGTGACTGTTTTTATAACTGGCAATGTGTACTTAATCCCTTCCCCTATTTCTCCCATCTCCCCAACCCCCCCGCCCCCCACCATCTGGCAACCCTGAAAATATTCTCTATGAATTTGGTTCTGCTTTGTTCATTTATTTTGTTTTTTAGATTCCACATATAAGTGATATCTATGGTATTTGTCTTTCTCTGTCTGACTTATTTCATTGAGCATAATATACTCTAGTGTTATATCCGTCCATGTTGTCATACATGGCATGATTTCCTTTTTATGGCTGAGTAATATTCCACTGTATGTATGTACCACATCTTTATCCAGTCATCTATCAATGCACACTTAGGTTGCTTTCATACCTTGGCTATTGTAAATAATGCTGCAGTGAAAATATGGATGCATATATCTTTTTGAATTAGTATTTTGGATTTCTTTGGATAAATACCCAGAAGTAGAATTGCTGGGTCATAAGGTACTAGTTCTATTTTTAACTTTTTGAGGACCCTGCACAGTGCCTTCCATAGTGGCTGCACCAATCTGCAGTCCCACCAACAGTGCACCAGGGCTCCCTTTTCTCCACAGCCTCGCCAGCACTTGCTGTTTGTTGATTTATTGATGATGGCCATTCTGACAGGTGTGAGGTGATATCTCATTGTGGTTTTGATTTGCATTTCTCTGATGGTTAGTGACGTTGAGTATCTTTTTATATGTCTCTTGGACATCTGTATGTCCTTTTTGGAGAAATGTCTATTCAGGTCCTCTGCCCATTTTCTAATGGGATTGTTTGTTGTTTTGTATTGCATTGTATGACTTCTGTATATGTTTTGGATATTAAACCTTTATGCAAATCGTATACGATTTGCAAATATGTTCTCCCATTCTGTAGGTTGCTTTTCTGTTTTGCTGATGTTTTCTTTTGCTGTGCAGCTTTTTATTTTGATGGAGCCCCACCCATCCATCTTCCATTGCTTTGTTTGTTTTGGAGGTTTTTATTTATTTATTTATTTATTTATTTATTTTTGCTATTTCAGTAGAAGATATTTTTAAATTAAATTTAGTGGGGTAACATTGGTTAATGACATACTGATTTTCAGGTGTGCAGCATTATAATCCGACATCTGTGCACCCTGTTGCATGCTCACCACCCAAGGTCTAGTTTCCATCCATTATTATATATTTGACCCCCTTTACCCTCTTTGTTATCCCCTAAACCTCTCACCCTGGTAACAACCAATCTGTTGTCTGTGTCTATGAATGTCTTTTGTTTTGTTATTTGTTACTTTTTTTTTGTTTTATATTCCACATATGAGTGAAATCATATGGTTCTTATCCTTTTCCATCTAACTTATTTCACTTAGCATGGTACTCGCACGATCCATCCATCTTGTCATAAATGGCAATTAAATGGGTATGGGCCACTATAGAAAAGAGTATGGAGGTTCCTTAAAATATTAAGACTAGCACGGTCATATGATCCAGCAATTCCACGTCTGGGTATTTGCCCAAAGAAAATGAAAACACTAATTCAGAAAGACATGCACCTCTAAGTTCATTAGGCATTATTTACAATAGCCAAGACATGGAAACAACCATCTCCCATTTTTAATTTGCGCAGGACATAATTTCATACCTCCGCAACAGAACGGATGCTCCCTGAGTGACCAGGGAGTGACCTGACTGGCCTGGTGTGGGGTGTTCTGTTTTTAAGGAAACCAGATCCCTCCAGCCCCCACTGCATGTGAATGAATGCAGGCCTGTGTTACAAAAGGGCTGCGTTGCACAGATCACAGCAGAGTTCTGTTAAGGAGGACATGAGCTAGTGCACTCACTGGTTCCTTCAGGTCAGGATGTCTTAGGTGGGACTTGGTGTGAGGACTCCAAGGTCGCTCTGGGTTAGCACCAAGGGAAAAATGGGAATGGGAAATTATCTCATGTGTTAAACACCAAATCATCTTCCAGTTTTGGGTGTCTGTGTGACGTGTACCATGAAGGGGTGTGGCCCTGCTGTCGGGAGCACGTGGCCTGGTGAGGGGGCTCCGTTCAGAGAGGGCTAGGGTATGTGTCAGAGGACATAGGAGGTGGGTCCTTGAACTGTTGTCAGGGCTGGACAGGTGAAGAGGCAGGAGGCCTTGGCATTTTCAAGTCAACACACAGAATTAGAGAATGTCTGAAGGACTAGGGGCTTAGGACACTCGGATGACTGGGTGGGGGTGACAGCCTGGTGTGGAGGGCTGTGAACGTCCCAGAGGTTTCAGTGTAACGTGCACAGGGACGAGCCGGGAGGGAGCCGGGTCCGCCTGTGTTGGGACCTGGGAACAGCCCTGGCAGGGCCTGGGACAAGCTGCCCTGACTCCCACCTCTGACTGAAGCCAGGTCCATACTCGGTGGCTTTTGGAGACCTTCGGGGAGGCAGACATGAAGGTCAGACACCAGTGACATGATGCACTTGTGTGTGTGACCGGATTTTAAACCCTGCCGTCTGTCCCCATGTGCTCCATTCAGCGCTGTCGTGGGTCACACAGGGCCGCATGGGTCCCCCACCGGCCCAGCCGGTGGTTCTGTGCTGCCTCGGGGAACAGGGGCCCTCTCCCATCCCATCAGACCAGTGGAAGAGCAGGCCCAGAGCATGGGTTTTTAAGCGTTTTTATAACTTGTGAAATGTGTGGGATTATACAAGCAATTTGGTGAGGTTAGTAAAAATGAAGTAAGAAACAATATAAAAGTCAGTAAATTTTAGTTCATTAAGAAATGGTTTGAAAACTCTAAAAATGAGTTTAGTGTAAAACGTGGGGGTCTGGGGGGCCTGCTTGAGCCACGCCCCCTTTTGGTCCTTGAGGATGAATTTAGGAGGGCCGCGTGCGACGAGCGGGTGCCCATGCCCCTGCACCTGATGCTCTTGGGTGTGGTGGTGTGAGCGGGGGTGACTTACGACAGAGGACAGGGTGTCAGGTCTGTCAGTCACTGCCGCCCTAATACTCCCCCCCTTTCCCAGGTTTGGAATTACAGACTCAGCAAAGTAAGGCCCACGATTCCTCTTGTCTGCCGACACTGAAGGTGTCGGACATCGAACGCAGCATCCCGTTCACGGAGCTGGCAGTGGCCTTGGCAGGTCAGTGAGCTCTGGCAGGCGTGGTGCTGGGCTGTGGGGCGTCATGAGGGAGTAGAGGGGGTGTCACGTCCGTCCGGAAGCATGGGAGCGCCTCACATTCCCTAGTCTGCCCTTGGCATCTCCTTAGATGGCCTCACCACTCAGCGATGGCAGACTTCTCTGCTCAGGTGGGCCTGCGTCCTTTCCTGAGCGGTGTGGCAGGGCGCCGCTGCCGCTGCATTACACACAGCTCTTAAAGGACGTGGGCCCCCTCTGAACCCCTCCCTGCATGTGCTCTCCACCTCAGCCATCAAGCTAGGACAGGTGACTGTACCTGGAGGACCTGGAAATGCCTCATGATGGCTTGTACACTGGCATGGAGAGCAGGAGGGAGCTGTAGGCTGCTGGGGTCCCATCTCACATTTCGTCCCACGGTTGCCTCCCTAGTCTGTCATTTCTGGTCGGAAGCACAGGAGGCCTCTGCCTGGAACAGCGTCCCCTGTGCAGGTGGACATTCAGCCTCCTCGTGGCATGACTTCACTTCCTAGCCCGGTCCTGAGGGGATTCTGACCGTCCCATCTAGTGTGGATTTAGAGTATATTGAAGTACCTCATTGACGTCTGTGAGGCGCCCCACTCCCCTCTCATTTGTAACAGGGCCTGTCGTGCTCACCACACCTGATCTGTGGGCGTATGTGTGTGCACACACAAAGGAGGTCCTTTCTTCTGGAAAGCTGGGTCAACTTCCCACTGACCTTTAATCCCCCCCATTTGGGTCACTAAATGTTCATTACAGAATTAGGATAAGTCAGTCATCAGCTAGTGCCTTCATCCCTAGGCTGGTTTGGGGCATTGTGCTAAGGGACATAAAGATGGGATGCACAGAGGCCCCCCCCCCCAAGGGACTTGAGACCACGGACACCTGTGCCAGGGTTACGCGGTGGGCCATCAGGGGCCTGGGGTGGGGGACTTGTTAGGAAGGATGGGTGGCATTTGGGCTGGGTGGGGAGTGGGGTCAGATGTTGCAGGAGTGACTGTCAGTCCGCTCTGGATAAAGGAGGTGAGGGCTGCCTTGAGTTCTGGATGGTTATAAAACCCAAAAGACGGCTCTTGGCCCTGGTTCTTCAGAAAGCGGGGTGCTCTTCAGTGTTGAAGACAGCATTACCACAGTGGAAGATCAGTAGGGAAATTTGTCTGAGCTACAGCAAATGAGTAGTGTCTGTTCATTAACATGAAGATTAATCCTCCACCCTTGAAAAGTGACAGCATTTTTAAATACTGACCGAGGATTGCGTGATTAAAATTTTACTGGTGGAAATTTAAGTCGCGTGTCTCTGTCTCTCTAGCTGGGGACGTCCCGGTGCAGTACTGCGCCCAGCCCACCAACGGCGTGGTCTACTTCCGTGCCTTCTGCAGCCTGCACACGCTGCCCCCCGAGCTGAGGCCCTATGTGCCGCTCTTCTGCAGTGTCCTCACCAAGTAAGGCCCGCCCGTGGGCCTCAGCCCTTCGTGCTGCGTGATCCCTGGGGCTTCCTGTGTGTGTTTTTTCCTGCGGCCGTGATCACATCTCTGTGAATCACTTTCAAAACCCATAGCGTTGTTGGTGTGTAAAGGGGACGATGCATTTGTTGAGATTTTTCTTAGGAAAATCGTGTTTTTTAACTAAGACATTTATAAACCTCAGTGTAAGGTAGTTCAGGTACATGTGCTTTGGGGACTGGGTTCTTTCTACGATTGTGACAAGAATGATGGTTTTGCATCAGAAAATGTGAGTAAATATGACATGTGGGCCTGGGTGGCCCTAAGAGGCCATGGTGTGTGCCCTCTGCCACCACGTTCATTTCGTGACCCCATCATCCCTGGGTGAGCATCTGAGCAGACTGAGAATACAGGGGTGTGTCTCTGTTCTTCTGCTGGGTCTCCGAGGCCAAGGGTGGCAGGCCGAGTGGTCGGCAATGGGAACTGTCAGCTGGGTCCCCTTCCTGCGTCCCCAGAGCAGGGAAAGGGAACCATCACAGCAGACAGGCCCTGTGTCACTTTATGCGTGAGCGAGGTGCTGAGGCCCATCAGGAGAGACGCCTTTGACATCCCAGGGTCTTCTGCCTGTCCTTAGATATGGCTACCACTACTCATCCTCTCATGGCTCCAATGTCTTTAGAAAAACCTCACGGTGTTGCCTTGGCTTAAATTAAATTACTTCTCGCATTAGGAGCAGCAGTTAGTGTTTCTCACAAAAGCCTCATCAATGTTGACACGACTTGCGCTTTTCTTACAAGTGCAGAAAGGCGTATTCTTCACATTTTGCCCTGAGACTACCAAGTATTTGAGCAGGGAGTCTGTCAGAATGTTCTGGAGGACAGCGAAGGGAAGACCATGGGATGCTGGACAGCCGCACTGTGGAGGTGGTCGGTGCTTTGCTCTGTGCCGCCTGGAGAGCGTGTTCGCTGCAGGCGATGCACCAGTCAGCCCTGAGCAGGCCTGGCTCCCGGGAGAGGGCCTGCCGCGTGCGCTGTTGTAGGGCGGCTTTGGGGCCGGCATGTGGGACACGGGGGCCGAAATGGAGTGGTGATGTGGCACTCTGTTGTCCCCAGACTGGGCTGCGGCAGCCTGGACTACAGGGAGCAGGCTCAGCAGATAGAGCTGAAAACGGGCGGCATGAGCGCGGTTCCCCGCGTACTGCCTGACGACTCACACCTGGACACCTATGAGGAGGTGGGGCCCGCTCTGGTGGGCCGGTGGCTGGAGGGTGGTCTCTGGTGTATGGTTTCCTGTGGATGACATCACACCTTGGGCCTCCTGTTTTTCCTGCCGTAGGGTGTGCTGTTTTCATCTTTCTGCCTGGACAGGAACCTCCCAGACATGATGCACCTGTGGGCTGACATATTCAGCAGGTGACTGCATTTGTGGAGGTGTTAACCCTGGGTGACCAGAGCTCTGCTGCAGCTGGAAAGGGGGCGCTTCGCTCTGCAGGTTGTCAGCTTCAGAGCCTGTTTGGCAGCTGCTCCTATGGGTCCGGAAGACTTGTGAGGAAGTTTGCCCCGTGTGACAGCCCACACTTGGGAATGTGCCATGATGTCGCAGGGGCCTGAATGGGGACCGGGACACCTTTCTGTGCCCATAGCCCGTGCTTTGATGAGGAAGAACACTTCAGGGTGTTGGTGAAGATGGCTGCCCAAGAGCTGTCCAACGGGGTCCCAGACTCAGGGCACCTCTATGCGTCCATCCGCGCCAGCAGGACCCTGACGCCCGCGGGAGACTTACAGGAGATCTTCAGTGGGATGGAGCAGGTGCCAAGCTGAGGGGACATGGGTTACTGTGAGTTAGCAGGTCTTGCAGAGTCGCTGGTATGCTCTGGTGCCATTTTTACATCCCAGAAAAGCTGACTACGTGACCAAAGTCCATGGGGAAATAAATTGTTTGAGTACCTCCCACCCCCCACACCCCCTTCCCCAGAGCGAGCAAGTGCACCTCACACGCAGTCACGCGGCCCCCATACCCAGGCTGTCTGGCTTCCAGGCTGGGGACGGGCACCGTCTCCATGTGTCGTCCCTTTGGCTTAGGTGAGGCTGATGAAGAACATCGCAGAAATGACAGACGTCACACCTGTCCTGACAAAGCTCCCGTGCATCCAGAAGTATTTATTAAACCGTGAGAATATGAGGTAGGGGCTCGTGCTTGGTCTCTGGGCAGAGACTCGTGGTTCATTTCATTTCATTAAGTGTCATGGGCGGATGCTCAAGAGGTGGTCGTTCCAGAAAGAATGCTTGGGTAGGTCACGGGAGTCGATTCTGGGCCCCACGTGGTTTGATAACTAAGAGCATGTTATGTGGGAACAAAACACTCAGTTAAGTAAGAGCTGTGGACGGTGGGGAAGAGCTTGAGCTCACTTAGTCCTCCCTGCAAGGTAGGCTGACTGCACGCAGACAGCGAATGTCCTGTGAACGAACCGTCAGGAGGCCAAAACAAAAACGCGAAATTCTTATAATTATACAACAGTTTGAGGACATGCACGGACAGTTGTCCTAAGCCCTCAGGCTGGTGAGCAGGGATGACATTTAGCAGTGACGAGCACTTGGTATATTTTTAGCATCTGTGACCCAGGGACACAGGTCGAGGTTAGCTTGTAGCTGCACTTGGAGCATGCCAGTGCCTTCCCCCGTTGGTTCTTGGGGGTCACAGGCAGGTGCCCCCAGACCATCTGGGTGGCAAGAGGGGCGCCCCGAGGTCAGTGCCAGGCCTTGGCTGGGGCCAAGCGGACTCCTAGATCCTGGGCAGCACTTACCCTGCACCCACGTTGTCTTAGCTGCTTAGCCACTGGGACCTTCTGTTTCCTCCTCCCTGAAACACTAGTTTATAGGCTTATGGCAAGGTAGTTGGAATAGAGTTCTGTTACTTTAATGGCCCATACTGTCAATTCAAATAAATAAATTTAGGGCTTCAGGCCAAAAGAAGGGAAATGTCAGCGCACTGTACAGTTCAAGTAGCTGTTACATGATAGTGTTAGGATCCTGCAGAAGCTGCAGCAGCTACAAAAGCTGCTTTCTGAGCCGCTGGTGCTTCGGTGCCTGTTTCCTGCTGCAGTGACGTATTCGCAGCTTCAGGCCGATGTTTCAGGCAGGCATTTAAGCTTCAGCCTTGAGGTGTAAGTCTGAAGATGTTGGCAGAGAGCTGCCTTGTGTCTTCAGAACGGGATTTAGTCAGAAACTCTGTCTCAGGGTCTTGACAGCTGTTACCTGCTGGGAACCATTTAAAGGTGTGACAGGGCTTTATGACACTTGAAAGACCTGTGGTCAAGTAGCCGCGGGTTGTTTCCATATTTGGCTACTGGTTTTTTTGTTAACATTTTTGAACATTATTTTGTACAAAAACAATATACGAGGTGTGGTCAAACAATGTGGTGAATGTTTAAATAAAAACTTATTATAGTAAAAGACACATCGCCATTAATCTCCTTCAGAACACTCCCCCTCACTTTGAACACACTTATCCCATCATTCTTGCCACTTTCTGAAGCAGTTCTGGAAGTCCTATTTTGTGTCTTTAGTTTCGGTTTCGTGGCTGCCTCGATGTCCTGAATCATTTTGACTCTGGGGAAGAGCCAGAAGTCGCACGGGGCCAGATCTGGTGAATAAGATGGATGAGGACACACCGTAATGTTTTTATTTGACAGAAATTGCCGGATACCAGAAGCGATGTGTGACACGGAGCCTTTCTGTTGTGATTAAACAATACTGTGAATGCTGTTGCTGAGTGCTGTCCAACAGAAAGGCAGGGATTTTCAATTCAGGAAGCAGCACGTCCAACCTTAGTAACAGTGTGTGACAACTTTCATTTTGTTCGGTGCGGTCAGTTGGGTGGGAGCTACGGTTGAGAGAAGGTGTGTTTTAAAGTGTGCCATAAATCATCCTCCTACATGACAACGCGCTCTGTGACGTATCACTTCTGGTATATGGCAATTTCTGTCAAATGAGAACATTACGGTGTGTCCTCATCCACCTTATTCACAGGATCTGGCACCGTGCGACTTCTGGTTCTTTCCCAAAGTCAAAATGACCATGCAAGGTAAACATTTTGAATCAATTCAGGACATCAAGGCAGCCACAAGAGCACAACTAGAGACACGAAAGAACTGCCTCAGAAAGTGGCAAGAACGATGAGATATGTGTGTTCAAAACCAGGGGGGAGGGCCGGCCGAGTGGCTCAGTTGGTTAAGAGCTCGCTCAAGAGTGAGCTCTGAGCACAGGGTTGCCGGTTTGATTCCCACATGGGCCCAAGCTGAGCTGCTGCTGAGCTGCCAACAGGTGGCAGGATGGCCCAGCTAAAAAAAAGAAAGAAAGAAAGAAAGAAACCAGGGGGGAGTATTTTGAGGGGAATAATGTCAGTGTATCCATTACTATAATAAATTTTTTTTATTTAAACACCATATTTTTTTTATCACATCGCATATTAATCTGTTTTTTAGTTTCGTTGTTTACACAAGATGTAGTGAATAGGTGAAGCAGTGTTTTATTTTCCATAGTAAGGGTTTTCTGTGCATACGTGATTGTTTAAACAGGTGTTTGGTGACGGCGACCCCCCAGCAGCTGTCTCAGACAGAACTGGCGGTGGGAGACTTCCTCAGAAACCTGGGGCAAAGGAGGCGGGAGCGGGAGCCGGCGCACCCACACGTGGTGCAGGTGAGAGCCGCCCCAAGCCCCAGGCTGCGCAGGACCTGTGTGTGACATAGGTCCCCAGACGTCCCCATTACCCACGAGGAGACCGGGAGGGTTCAGTCCTGCCCAGTGCTAGCCCAGCTGGAAGTGACTTTGAACCCTGTAGCTTGGCCTTTGACCCTGCGTTCCTATTGTCAGTAATGGGGAAAGCTCCCTGGGGTCTGGGATGCGCTCCTGTAAGAATAGCCAAAAATGGTGACCTGACGAAGCTGGTCTTTTCTGCTGTCGGCGAAGCTTTTCCCTGACTCAGTGACACACGGATGTCCCTAGAATAATCACAGCTGGAACATTCCAGTCATCGTGCTTTGCTTACAAAATGGGCGTGAGCCAGCTCACCGGGTCCAGTAGAGGGACAGGTTGACAAGTCTGCAGGTTTTGCAGAGGACAGACTTCTGCTGTCTCCTTGTACATCCCTAGTCCCTCATCCCCGCATGGGCCACCCCGTCTTCCCAGAGCCTTGCCTGTGACGGGACCTCATGGAACGGGCAAGAGGCGGGCTGTTGCTCCCCGACCGTCCGAAACTCCGCCAGGAAATTCCATGTGTAATGAAAACACTGTTACTTAAAACACCTAAGCAAATGCACCCTAACACTTGATATTAGCTCTGAATTTTCTGCAGTGTGCCTTCTTAGCTATTTCAAGTGAGTTGGGATTTTTCTCCTTTCTCTTGGAAACATTTTCAGAAACCTATACCTAATGGATCGGGAAGCAGCACACATGTTAGTGGTTCCCAGGTCATCAGGAAGCTGATCACAGTAAGTTAACCCAGTCCCGGTCACTGGTCACTTCAGAACCAGCTGTCCCCAGTTAGTTCATGCCCTGCCAAGCAGCGGGCGACCTGCCCCGCAATTGCCAGGTGTCTCCCTGTGCCGGGATGTCGGAGCAGCAGTGCCATGAAGACCGTGCCCCTTCACACTGCACCCCCATTTTCACGTAACTATCTGAGTCGGCTAATTCACCTGCACTCGGGCCGTGTGGTCCCCCCACTCACTCAGCTTAGCTCATTGGGACATTTGGTTTGGTTCATGACAGAGAACACATCTTACCGTGTTCCTGGGAAAAAGGGGAAGGCGAGATCACAGTCCACAGTCGGTACAGATGACATGGGTGACAAGTTTCTAACTGCACCACGATAATTACACCTGAAGCCTGTGTCAAGGTCGGAAGGTTCCCATGGGAAGTAGGACTTCTTCGGAAGTCCAGGTGGCACCTCTGCAGGTCGCACCTGTGAGCCACCTCCCAGTGACACAACCTGACCTTCCCCCCCCCCAGGACCCCACTTTCAGGCCTTGCCAGATGAAGACGCACTTCCAGTTCCTGTTCCCCGTAAACTATGTCGGTGAATGTGTCAGAACCGCTCCTTACACAGACCCGGACCACGCCAGGTACAGACGAGGGCATGAAAACACGACACCATGGAAGGGAACGGGGCGGCCACATAGAAACCCAGAAACGAGGGGGCCGGCTGCCACTGGGTCCCGGAAAAGTTAATGTAGGAAACATAATCACAATATCATGATTTTTCTCAGCGGTTTTCTTGGTTTATCTGCATTTCTGTAGGAAATAGACATGGTCTGTGTGCTAGGCCATCAGGAAGAGTGGTCTGTGTTTCCATTATTGGATAGAATATGGAGATTTAAAACACTACAATGTTACTAGAGGTACCCCTGGGTATTGGGGTTATCGATTTTTTTTTTTTTTGCCTTTTTTATATTTTAGAATTTTTGAACAGTGAATGTATGTCCCTTAGGAAACGCAGAGGTAATAGAAATTTCCAGAGAAAAGCACTTGGAGGATACACTCCAGTCCGTGTAGGGCGAACGGAGCCCATCTGTCCAGGGCTGGCAGCCCTGCCTCAGACCTTGGGCGTGGGGTCCCCAATGAGGGCGGCACATCTTTAGGGACGCGTACTGCCCCCTCTGTTTAGCTTCTCATCAGACCTTGTCATCTTGGGGAGTGAATGCTGTGCCTCCCGCGGATGGCAGCCATGTCGGGCGCGGCCCTGCCCACTCTGCCCTGGGGACATGTTTTCTAGAACCACCTTTTTCCCTTCCAGGACATCAGCTGTTAGCATTCATCATGTAAGTTAGCGGGAACATACAGAACACACATTCCAACAGTGACTTAGGGAGGATGCCTGTCAAAAACCAGCCAGCAGCTTCCCACGCACACACACACGCACATGCTGATGTGTGGGTTTATGTAAGTGACGCTCCACACAGATTGCAACGTGCCCCGCGTGTCTGAGAGGGAGCTGGAAGCGTGTGATGGAAGGCCTGTGCCCCAGCCCTTCTCCCCTCCACCCTGTAACCCAAGCCGCTGTGTGAAATGTCTTCCTCAGGGTTTCTCCTAGGGACCAGGATGTATATGTTACTTGACAAGGTGGTTTTCTGGTTTTGTTTCCACTGAATTAGACATTTGACATCTTTTTGGATGACTTTTTTATTATTATATATGATACTTTTCTGCCAACCATGTTATTTTTAACTTGCAATTTCCAATCATTCATTTCAGTCTTAAGATCCTGGCAAGATTGATGACAACTAAATTCTTGCACACAGAAATTCGAGAAAAAGGTGGTGCTTATGGTGGAGGTGCTAAACTCAGCCATAACGGGATATTCAGTTTTTACTCATATAGGTGAGTTTTTCTCTGACCATTTCATACATGTGGACACACCTCATGTTACTGACAGTCAGTGGCTCTGAAATCATCAGTGTTGTCATCTCATACATTGGAGTGAACTTGAAAAAAAGATTGTCCCCCCTTTTCCACCTCTTCAGCACTCAGCCACACCAGCAGTGTCCTTTTGGTCACTAGGTTGTAGGGACAGCGGGAGAGGATAGGGAACAACTGGCCTTATGTGAATCCTGGCGTTGGGTGGGGAGCGTATTTCAGTAGAAGGCGCCCTGAGCTTTCTGGGCTCCAGGCCTCACACACACAGAAGAACCTGCCCGTATTTAGAGTAAGTCTTCATTTTCTGTGGCTCTCGCCTAAAGACACGTCTTTGGACACTCAGGAAAGGGCGGATTGCTTGTGCCGCTGATACACTTCTCTCTGCTCCTGCCAACTGTGTGGCCCTTCCTGGTGTGGGTGCCGGGAGCTGGGCCCACCCTCAGCGCGTGCAGGGCTGTCTATACCATGTGGACAAAGCTCTCTGCAGCTGTCTCCACTCAGGCAGCAAAGGCTCCGAGATGGGGCCACGTACAGGCGAGTGTTCTGGGCATGTCTTGCAGAAGTGAGGGTTGACATTGAACCTTTTGTAGCGTTTCTCCATGAGTCTTCCACTCAGTCTGACTTTCCTCCGTCCCCCCGACTTGCTCTTTTAATGACATTGCAGAGGCTGCATTGAATACCCTGGTGGTAATAACCAAGAAGAGGGGATGTCCCATGGCCTGTGTGGCTGGGCCTACATTTCCTGAGTGTTGATTTCAGTGGGCTGTTGGACTTCAAGCACCGTTAACGACTAGGAAGTGTTGGAGCTGTGACGTCAGCCTGGGCTGTCGCTCACTTTTCCGTTGGTAAATGTGTGAATAGCTGACCTGTTGGGTCTCCTAGGGATCCACGTTCGACAGAAACACTCCAGGCTTTTGCGGAGGCCGTCGACTGGGCCAAGGCTGGGAGGTTCTCCCAGCAGGACATTGATGAGGCCAAGCTGTCCGTGTTCTCCAATGTGGACGCACCACTGGCTCCCTCAGACAGAGGTATCGGGAGGAGTAAGAGGTCCAGGCTTAGGTCCTGAGCCGTGTCCCCAGCCCCCTGCCCCTTCCTTTGTGACATGCAAACTTCCACCTTGAGTGAGCATCTTGGTGTTGCCACTTGAAAGGGGTCACGTCCTGTCACGTCAGAGCTTGAGTGTGCTGTGAGTGCCCCAGGCGGTATGACCCACGTGGGGCAGAGACCCTCCTGGTGTGGCCCTCACTCATCTTCCTCATCCCAAAGGGGAGCGGCTCTGTGGGAAGGTGAAGGTCAACAGTTTGCCCTTGGGTGGAAATGTGTCCATCGGTGCCCATGGAGCAGGCTCAGCTCCGCTGTCACTCAGCTGTGTCCCTTTCAGGCGTGGACCACTTCTTGTACGGCCTCTCGGACGAGCTGAAGCAGGCACACAGGGAGCAGCTCTTTGCCGTCCACCGCCAAGGCCTCATCGACGTGAGCGACAAGTGAGCACGACCGTGTGGCCCGAACCTATGACCCTCACGCGCCTGGCGTGGGAAGAGCCCTGACCCCCTCTCCTTTCAGGTACCTGGGAGTCGGGAGGAGCACTCACGGGCTGGCTCTGCTGGGGCCTGAGAACACGAAAATTGCCAAGGACCCGTCGTGGATAGTTAAGATGACCAGCAGCTCCAGCTGAGCTCGGGACTCAGCGGCCACAAGCTCACAGGCCCAAGAAGTAAGCCCGAGCCAAATGTAATTTGAAAGGTCAAAAGTGATTGTTTTTCCCAAATACCATCATCATTTATCATTCTGACAATTTTGCCAAAGGTACGTAGCCTGTCAAGTCAGACCAAAAACTCTTTTATCTTAAAGAAGGCGGAGATCGCGTGATCACGAAGAAACTGAAATGATCTCGTGTTAAATGCCAGAGATGCACAGATTACTATGTAAGACTTCCTAATAGAAATGCTTATTTTACCTTATTTATCCTACAAAACTTATTTAAAACATGTAAAAATAAAAGACAACTCTGACTTACCTGTGCTTCAGTCACTGTTTTAAATGACATTTTGCTAAAGTAATTCTTAGGGCCTTTACTAAAAAAATCAATGAGTGACATGAATAAATGAAATAAGGTATTCCAACATCTGCCTTGGTGTATAAAGGTCACACCAAGGACGGGGGAAAGTCTTTGAACAGACGCGTGATAAACAGCAGCCCGATGGGATTCCCAGCAAGAACTTGCTGTGTTCTGGGTTAATGAGCAGTAACTTCTCCCCACATTTAAAAAAAAAAAAATTTCTGAGTTTATTTGAGCCAAAGGGCTGCCATATACCCAGGAGCGACCTCTCAAATGCTCCCTCTCCACTTTATCTTTACCGGAAGGCTCTGTCTCATGTTACTTCACATTTGTCAGATGAAGCTGTTTGTTACTGGCTCCTCAGTTCCTACTCAGCCTCCAGGCAGACGACCCCGCTTGGCTGTGCTTGGCAGACACTGTGTTACCAACCAAAGGTTTGGGGCAGCCCTGCGTCTGGCAGATCTCTCAGTGCCATTTTTCCAACAGGCTCAAATGACTGTCAGCATTTTTAAGCAATAAAGTATTTTTAATTAAGGTATGTACATTGTTTTAGGCATACTGCTATTGCACACTAGCTATAGGATAATGTAACAGTTATAGGCACCAGGAAACCAAAACTTTGTGTGACGCACTTTACTACAGTGGTCTGGCTCCTGCCTGTGTCCGAGATCTGCCTGTATTTCTGCTCACCCCCCTTCTCTCTGTACGAGTCCTTCCCCCATGGCGGGTTGACAGGCGAATCCTTACACATCTCAGACTTGAGACCGGAGAAGAGAGGCAGAAAAGCTTTTCACTCTAGATACTGAGTAATCTCACTTAGGCCCGAGATGCCATAGAGTCATCCAGAGGGTTCCACACAGGTCCCCCAGGGATGGTGGCTTCAGTGCACACCTCGGACTGAAGGGTGTCATTTCACCTTAACCCTGAGGCATGCATTTGTGGGGTCTGATTTTAATGCTACAACTGGTCCCACTTTAGAAGGCAGCTATGTGGCTATAGTTGGGTCACATCACCTGGTGTCCTGGTCCAGGGCCTGCTCGGCACACTTGACATGTCCCGTGTTTGCTGTGTGTCACAGCATTTGCCTTTCTCCTTTGTGACTTTGTGCAGCCTAGTTCATGATCCCTCTAAAAATAAGTTGCCACAGAGCCTGAGGTCTAAATGCCCACTTAAAAAACTGAAAGAAACTTAGTACCGTGGTTGGAGCTTTAGCGAAATGTTTAATTCCACTGGGAGTGCACGGTTTGAAGCAGGAGACAATGAGAAGGACAGCAGACAAGGCGTGGGGGTCCCAGTGCCCCGGGGGCGTGAAGGGCACGGATGGGTGCTCTGTGGTTAGGGATTAATGTTGACAATACTCATACACCATGCTCATAAATAACAAGTGTTACAAAAACGGCGGTAAACAGGAAGTCCAAGTGTTGCCAGGCAGTGCAGGTCCGGTGGCACCTAGATGGCTGCAGGTTCCTCGGGGCCGCGGCGGTGCACGTGCTCCATTTGACCCGCGTCGGAGACCTCCAGGCTGGCCTTGTACTTGGCCAGGATCTTCATGAGTGGCCGCAGCTTCAGCCACCACTGCTCTTTGGGAATTCTGTGCCTGTGAACAGGGGGCAGCAGCGGTGAGTGCCCCACCCAACACCAGTGAAGTCGGAGGGGAAGCCAGTTTTCAGAGGTCCAGTGAAACCATCCTATTTCTATTTCCACAAACCTTCCCTGCCCTGTTTCTAAAACTTGTATTAGCTGTTTCCTAAAAATACTACAATGAGTGACTTCTGATAGCTACAGTAAGTATGACGGGTGTCCCTGCCCTTGAGGACCCCTGCTGTCCAGTCCTGCTAACGGCATTAAGGTTTAGACTTGTGACATTCGGATTACTTACTCGAAGTCCGTCTCCTTCCTCAGTTCTGCCACAGGCTGGAAAAGGAGGTTTCTTTTGCAGATTCCCAGCACACAGATGGAATCATCAGTTACAAATCTCTTTCCTAGAAAAGACAGACAATGATCTGACACTGAGTACTTGGATGTGTTTAACAGGCAGGTCAAAAGTCGATGAAGGACAGCATAAATACGCAGCTGCAGTGTTGCCATGGGGACATGGGGGACAGTTCGAGGAATGTAATTGATAATGTGAATATTTTGTAGGGTGTCAGGTGGTCACATGTCTTGCATCATGGATGGGGTAGAGGCTTGATCACTGCACTGTACACCTGAAGCTGATGTTGTATAATATTGTATGTCAACTGTAAGTGAATATATATAT